AATTAAACATTATGCTTAGTCATTTTGTTTGTTTGAACGTAATCATTACGAGAAAAAATGTCATTACCGAGAAAAAAAGTCTACATTTTTCTCAGTGCGTTTGCAACGAATTTGAAAACTTATGTATGTACGTTGGCCTTGACAGGACCTCTTCAAAAACTCAGGACTCTTCACTCAACAGCCGGCGGCGTCTGTTCGCCAGGCCAACTAAAATAAATACACACAATGTTGTAATTTAGAAGAATATTTGCACAGCAATTATTTTCATAGCAGTGGCCGCAGTCTCAGTCTCCGTAGCAGTCAAGCGGTAACAAGGCCAAAAACAAAAGTGAATTGCCGTCCCAAACTGAAACGCGGACCGGGACAGGATCTTCTGTCGAGTATATTCGAGTCCAGTTCAGTTCAGTCGAGCCCGGACAGAGGCCAGGAGCCACTGCGAAAACATTTAATTGTTATTTTTACCAAATGAATGGCAAACGGCCCGCAGCACACGACACAAATTGCGGTGTGCTCATTACGACAATGTGCTCTTGGGAAGGGATGGAAATGGGATGGGAAATGGGTTGACTCCAAGCTGGGCATGGGTTTGAGGTTTAGAGAAGAACCTCCAACCACCAGTCGGGGACAGATGGACCACGAACCCTAACGCATCTGCCATCTTTCATGCCTGGGCTGACACACACTTAAGAAAATTTTAATTAAATAGGTCTTAATTATTTTACTGAGAAATAATTAATTTAAACCGTAAATACATTTATTACAGGGATGCATTTAAAATGTCATTACATCCCACTATAAGTTTTTAAAGTAGCAAATTCCATTCACAAATGGATTCCTTTATTTCCTCCTAAAAAATAATTTGTATTATAAATAAAAAAACATTTTATCTTTACTTAAAAAAATTGTTTTTTATTAAGCAGTTTTCAGTGCTTTTTTTCTGTACTATCGTTTGACAAAGCTGCATTGTTGCGTCGACCTGCGGCTGTGTGAAACGCATTCAGGCGAGTTGGCCAAGTGGAGCACTCCATTGCGTGCCCTGTGCCATATTTTTTCCACTAATTAAAATAAACAAAATGCCAGAAACCAGCAACTGGGCAAGCTTGCACCGCACTTCTACATCTGTATCTAGGATGCGTCAGGACAGGAAAGTCAGTCAGTTTGTCGGCGGCAGCGGTTGTTTGTTAGATGTGGAAAGTGGCACAAGGTTGAACGGGGCAACCACAATGGACGGCAAACAGAGGATAATGGTGACCTGTCCTGCCATTGACATGCTTCTGACCATATCAATGGCACTCACATCCTGTACGACGATCTCTGGCTGAAACCTTATACCTTTTAAACTATTAATTCAACAATTAACTTTATTAAATTGCAAACCTCTTGAAAAGAAACTTTATTCATTGTCAATTTCAACGAACTATAGCTACTATTAGGTAATACAATTGAAAAAAGTAAGCTGCTTAACCAATTTGGAGCCATACTTTGATTAATAATGATTAATCATATAAATACTTGTAAATAAATTGTTCTCAGATATACATAAAAACTGATTGAAAAATGCAAGCAACAACAGCAAATTAATTCTATACTTCGGGGCAGCACTTTCACAACAATTTCACATAATAATTTTAATAACAACTTTTTAATTGCTTATTCATGTACCGCTGGGGAAAAATTTGTGCCGGACCCAGGTCCATGTTTCGAAGGGGCCGCACTTTAGCCATGACCCATTCACAAGCCCCTTAAACGAGCCACCCTACGATCTTCACTGGCATAAACTTTTGCTTTTTAAATGTTTCTTTATTAGTTGCTGTAATTGTTTTTTGTTTCGGCGGGGAAAATGGGGAATCGGTGGACGGGACACGAATTCAACTCCGATGCGGTGGGGGTTGTGGTTGTGCCCGATTGTTTGTGGCGCCTGTTGTTGCTTCATCAAAGAAATCGAGACTTGAGACTGGAGTCCTCGTTGAAAAGTTTGCGCGAAATGCAGCTGCAACAAAGTTTTTGGCAAGAAATAGTAGAAAACATTTCGTTGTTCTACTCTTTTTTTGCCCAAAACGCTTGTTTTGTCTTATTTTATTTAAGTTTTTGGTTTTGCTGTACGTGCGTTTTCAGTTTTTTGTTTCGTCTTTAGTAAACACACCGGAAATGCTCCAATTTTGTGTTGCGTCACTGCGGAAATGCTTGGCAGTTGCAGAAAAAACATAAAAAATTTTATGTTTTTATCTTTATACATTTTTGTGTATCTGCGTTGCCTATAGAAATAATTTAAATAAGTTAAATGGTCGTAAAAAACTTAATGCAACATTATTTTTTCGCTGGTCGAAATTTATGTATTTATGTATATATGTATTTCATAACAATGTTTAGCTTTGAAGCTTGGACTTCTTATTTCTAATATCTTTAGATGTTTTTAATCTTTATCCGGATTGTTATGCAAACTGTGGCAAAGACAGTCAGATAAATATGACTGTATATACTTATTTGCAACACAACAAAAATTGCAACTGCAATTTGCGCCATTGTTTTGCTGTCAGGCCAGAAGTTTCTTTTGCCCAAAAACTTTTGGCCACAACAAAAATACTCAAAACCAGACGAGGCAAACCAACACCTAAAAGCAAAAATAAAACTTAGAAAAATAATAATAACGAAAATGTATAAACCGAAATATGTATACATAATTTAAAAAAAACTTTTGAAAAGATTTTAAAATCAAAAATAAATTTATTCAATACTTTTGGCGACTAAAGTATCTAATTATGACGGGTGAGAGAAAGTTTGCCTTAATATGGTGAAAAATGTAATATGTTTTTATCAGACTCTCGATTTTTATATCTTATCTATCATAAAGGATAAGTAAATCGATTTTAGGATTCCATAAAGGATGACCCATTGGTTAAAAACTGAAAATCTCATAAGTCCTGGCTAGTTTTATCTTCTTAATATAAGCTCCGTCTCCATGCAACGTTTACTTGTTGTTCATATAGGTAAATAATTTTTCTAAGCTTGTAGGACTATTTATTATTTTAACAATAAACAAACAACATTCCAATTCATCCTTTTTGGTTATCCCTTTTCATATGCACGTTTATGTTTGCATTGTTTATATTATTTTAGGTAAAACATTTTAAAAGGCAATAGAAACGGGTTTAAAGCTTAGCTCGCAGCCTATGTGTCGTATACACAATGTGCTTGCCACATTTCGAAGACAAGCTGATAACAGTTTAGCACAAGTTAATTGCCACAAGCAAACAATCGAGCTGCCAAGTCAGCAGGGGAGAAGGCGTGCTCCGCTGGAGGGGACCGGTAGGGGGGATGGCCGCAATCGCATATCCATGTATTAACACATTGGGGATCAGGTGATGGACGGCGGCCATGATGTTGACATGTGTAAGTAAACTGGAGCGCACAAATCGATGGCCAACAGAACAGCAGGGACAGGGGCGTTGGCAGGAAATGGAGGAACACTCTAAGACGCAGGCCCTGGCCACTCGACACATGCCACCACGGGCAACAGCAACAAAATCCAGAAGCATCGAACAGCAACAGCTCATTAGATTAATGACGTTGGTAATGGATTAGCGAGCAACGAAGGCGACACCAAACGGACACTGCCCGGTGGAGTACAGACGGCACTGGACAGCCGACAAGCGACAAACTACAAACGACAGGCGACTTTGTCGTCGGCGTCACTTTGTCTAAGCTGGCATCCAAACAGCAGCCCGTAATTAGTGCCATAGGTCCCATTGAGGATCATGGAAAGGGGAAACCAACCGATGCCAACTAGGCAACAAACGCCATAAAGTGGCACAGAAAAAAACAGCATGCATAAAGAAAAGATGACATTTCCTTTCTTTACTTTGGTTTCGAAATTATAACGTAATTTTCAATCAAATAACAACTTGGAAATATTTTTATATAGTGTTATTAATTAAATTTTAATATTAAAGCACAATACACTTTAATTTCAAAGCAATTATTAAAATTCAATTTGATTAATTGAAAATTTTGCTTCCTCTCGAACGTCAATCAAATACAATTTTTTCATTTATATTAAGCGACTTCCTTTAAATGGACATCTGACAGGCATTTATCTGAAATGTCCAGTCAATATAATATAGTCTTCCATAAGGTCTAGAGTCTTAAGCTAAAATTTAAATGAATTAGTACCGTCCGAACCTTCCCAGAGTGTAGAAAAAGAACTTGAAATTAATATGAACATTTTAAAAAGTATTACTATACTTTTTCTGCTTTGTTCACTATCACAAGGAAGTGAAAATAATCAGCTGAAATTTCTTAACAAGCTTATCCGCTTAATGCAAAATGAGGATGAGATTCATAATTTAATAACATTTCAACACAGTCGCAACCGAAACTGCACTCTTCAAAACTGGAACCCCCGAAGAATTCCAATTTTACGATCAAATGAACTGGGATTCATTGAGACGCGATTGAAGTTTGGCAGACTTGCTTTAGCCTTGGTCTGTATAGACAAAGATTTCGACCTGGAAATCTTATCAGCAGTGGGAAAATCTTTCAACTTAATGCGGCAGGAACGAGTTATTCTGTGGTTGCAACAAAAGCCATCAAAGGAATTTTTTGAAGAACTAAGCGGTAAAGCGGAAGATTTAAAATTCGCAAGAGTGCTTGTACTAGAAATGGATGATAGTCGCGATGGGCTGGGATGCTTATATCGGATGAACCCATATCCCACACCGTCCTTTACTCCAATAAACTTCAGTTTTTCGACTTTCAAAGAGACCTTCTTCAAAAACAAAGTGGAAAATTTTCAAGGAAGAAAGGCTATTGCACAAATTGATCATGAAAGTGCTATATCAATGAAAATTAGTTATCGATTGTATCAAAAAGGAAGCGGAATAATCAATTCGTTTGCCAAACATCACAACTTAAGCCTCAAAGTCATAAAAGGAAATGGCTCAAATAATTTTGACTTTCTGCTAAATAACTACAAGTTTATCAAAAAAGAAGCGTATGCCAATATGATCGACTTCGCTAATCCATACTTTTCGACCTCGTTGATAATTGTTGTTCCTTGTGAAAGCGGGCTGAGTATAATAAATGTCTACGAAAAATTGGATATTAGAACCTGGTTTGCCTACCTTCTGTGTGTGTATTGGTCCTTTGTGGTGGCGGAGACCTTCATCATCTGGGCGAACCTTCGCATGTCCGGAGATCGTCGCCTACCAAGCATTAATGAACTATTAAACCTTCGAGCAATCCAAGGTATTTTGGGTCTCTCCTTTCGGGTCAACAACCGGGCCAGCTTTTCTCTCCGGCAACTCTTTTTGGCCATCAGCATTTTCGGAATGATCTTCAGCAGCTTTTTTAGTTCCAAACTGAGTGCCATGCTAACAAAACCTTTCCACCAGGCTCAGGTGAAAAATTTTGACGATTTGCAGCAAAGTGGATTGACAATTTTAGCGAACAAGGATCAGTATCACTATCTTAAAAATGAGTTGGACCGCGAGATCACTGCAAAGTTTATTTCAAATGTGAAACAGATGGGTTACTACGAGCGCATGCAATTACTTTTATCATTAAATAATAGTTATGCTTATACAATATACGGATCAAGGTGGCCATCTATCGAAGCGATGCAAAAGTTAATTGGGCGCAAGGTGTTGTGTTCATCGGAAGATCTTACTGTATTCAACAACATTCCAAGGACACATGAACATCAACCCAACTCGATTTTTAAAAAGTCGCTTTCCTTCTATCAAATGTTCTTTTACGAGATGGGTCTAACGTCTAATCATCTAAATGATTTATTTCGCATTTTAAGACAAGAATTAAATATGACCCTCAATAAGAGAATTCACGATCTGGCTGTTCCTTTGACCATTGAGAATTTACACTGGGTATGGTGCTTGCTGATGTTGGGATACCTCATTGCATTAATAGCATTTCTTGGAGAGATCTATGTTTACAACAAAAACGTTAAGAAGTCACGATTTAGACAGAGGCACAAAATCATAGTGGTATAGATTGCTACTAAATATTTTTAATCAATCAAAAAATTTTGTACACAAAAATTTTATAATCTTGCACAATCTAATATTATAATCATACAATTCAATGTCAAAAGCTATGCAAAACTATTTGTATCTTAATCTGCTTCTTTAAATACAAATTTCGAATTAAAAAAAAATGTAAACCGATTAACATTTTAATATTTTTTAGGACAATCACACACCAAATACTCTTCCTTCGAGCTGACAGACATCTTATTCACTGACCAATTTGCCATGACAATGTTCTGTTTTAATATCAATAATAACTTAAGCATCTTTTGAGTTCTGTTCCCCTTTGCGACAATGTGAACTGCATTTCAATTAGGCCGCATCTGCCGGTTCTTCGACCAGAGAAACCTTAACAGTTAAATGCGAAAATACAATTGTGTGTAACGGCGCGTTTGCGTGGCTTAATGCTCTGCTTTTGCTTGTTTTTAAGGCTAATTTGAATAAATGCCAAAAGGGAGAATTCAGAAAAAAGCAATACCTGAAATGTGGTTACCCTAGCAGAGAAAAATAAAAGAAACCAAAAACTTTTAGTTCAACTTTAGCTTTTAATAAACAATTATTATAGTAATATTTAAAATAAAATTGTTAATATGATTTCGTATTTTCTAATCAAGTGTATTTACCCTTATAAAGGGTATTCAAAATTACGAAAATAAAACATTTGTAACTTAGTTTTTGCCCCACTTCTTTGGCAACGAGATTTGCATGCTGAACAGGCCATAATAACAACAATACGAGTAAGCTTTGACATCCTCTCATATTTTGGCCAGAATTTATGCCCAACAGGCAATGAGAACTTAAGTGATTTTGGTTGTAAGCTAATTGAGAGTTTTGGCAACTGGCAGCTAAAAGTCAGATTGTCCAAATCATTGCAGACTTAAAAAGTGCAAAATTAATACCAATTCGAAATTTTAAGTTGAATATTTTAAAGCCTCTTTTTTCTTAAAAATGTACTCTTATATTGCAAAAAGAATTTTATTTAAAGTGAATTTTATCTGGGATTGATCCCAATACCTTTATTTCCCATTTCTTCATGTGCACACTTGCTGCCACACTCCCACACCTGAGAAACCAGCCAATCTGTCAGTCACTTCAATTGAAGCCGGCATATGGAACGCGTGCCAGTGCTTCAAACCCGATTCTAAGGCTCGGCCAAAAGGCTTAGCCGCACTCCGTACGTTGCAAGTCTTGACAGGCCAATTGAAATGCAGCTCACGTAACGTTTTTTTTTTAATCGACGCTAGTTTTTTGTTGCTCCCGCTGTCATATTTTAGTGCTGCGAACTGCTCCTGTCCGCTGTTGAATGTCCACCGTCCGGTAACTCCTGTCCGCCGACTACTGGCGTTTCGCATTCAAAATGTCATGTTGTCAATCGCCTGGACAACTGTCTGCTGCACAAGTGCCGCTTATGTGCGGTCTGTAGATGAGCATAAATTACGAATGCCAAGGAGTGCGAAGTGGAAGCAGCGGGGGCGCCTTCATTAAATGTGCAACAGTTTTTTACCCATTCATTTACAGGGGGCACACACCGCATACACCAATACAGGACAAGAGCTGGACGAGCCACGGCGACGACATCGAGTTATTTGTAGCAGGATGTAGGTCGGGATCGACCTTGAGAATCGGAATTAAACTGAAATCGAAAGCGGTGTCAACGACGCTGGGTGTGTCTGCCTCCATACTAGATAAAAGATAATGATTACATGAAAAAGAAGCCTACATTCAATTATTCAATTGATGGCTATCTCCTGAATTAAATCATTCAGAAATATTTAACTGGGATATTGTTTTGTTTAACATTTATTATTGTTTATTTTTTGTTTTAACAGCTTCTATATCAATATTTAACTAACGGTTTGGAAGTTTATTCAACGTTAAATAATATTTTTCTTCAAAAAAAGCTGTGAAGCAAATAAAAATAGCCATTTAAAGTTCATTGGCCACAAAAGAGCTATTTATTTTGTTTGCGAAAAAATTGTTTTGTTTTTTTAAAATTCGCATACACTTAACACTTTTAATAAATTCTCTATACAAAAGACATTTACAACTTTTGAAATATCAACAAATCACCATTTCTTTAACAAGAAATGAAAAAAAGAAAATAATTTTTGCTGATAATAAAATAGAATTTAATAGCAGCAAAACAAATTAAATTTGTCTTTTCAAAAAAAGTGTATATATAAGTTCGGCTTTTAAAATCCAAGTATCAGTCCTGATTTTAATTTATTTATATAACCGTTTATTTATAGTTTTTTTCGTAGTTTCACCTTTTAAAACCATGCTCGTGAGAAAAGAAAACAGTTTCAGAAGACCAAAGCATACTTGGCAGATCGCTGACACCTAGTCCCCTGGGATATCTATTTAAATTTATCTAACCCCGATCCCACCTAGACAGAACTTTCCCGCCAACCAAAAAAAACCGAGAGATAAACTTGCCAAATTTTACGCACGTTTAACAAACCAACATGAAAATGAAACCTGATACCCAAAACCCGAAAAAAACCCCAAAAATTGGCCATAAAAGTTGTGTTATTGCCCATGTACACACATCTTCTGCCAAGAATTCTCACATATAAATTGCTCGAAATTAAGCGAGCCCGAAAAGGGGTGAACTGGCGCAAATAAAATCAAAAGCAAGAAAAAAACGCCAAATGCGAAAGTAAATGAATGCACGTCGCGTCGTATGTGAACGCACCCCGTTCTGGACTTTCTCTTTTCAAAAGCGTGTAAATAACATTTTTATTATATTTATAACATTTATGTAAAGTTCCCGGACGAGCACCCACCGCCCTGCCACGCCTCCTTTGCGTGTATGCTTGTGGGGGCGACACCAAAGCAGGTGTGACACTTTTTTATTATTTCAGTTTCGGTTTTTTTTTCTTTTTGTGCGCTCGCGTTTTACTGACCCACTTATCACGCGGTGCGGCATCAGAATGAAGTGGCAGTGGTGCTGCCAAGGTTTCCTCCTGGCAACAACAACTCTCACCCTGGGCCGACAGAGAGGGGGCGACCGCCGGCGAAAGAGATAGGCTGATATTACATATACGTCATATAAAGAGCAAAAGCAACTGTGCAAATATTTTTATGCGAAACGCTCTGGTGGAACAATGGCCAGAGACAGTGGGCCCATTAACAAGCTACCAGCGAGCAGGAAACATATAGCCCCACGCTGTAACAGGGAGTAAGGCACATAGTGGGAGAGAGAGTGAAAGAACAAAAGAAGGGAGCCCACATTTCGTAGGCCATGAAATTGTCAGCGAATGTGAAATTTTAAATAAAATGATGAATTTATGGGTGTCGCTGCCGTCAAACGTGCGAGAATTTCAAAAAGCAAATCAACGGGCTTTGGAACGCGTTCGGTTGCCAGGCGTGCATCTTACAGATACTTTACTTCACTACCCGCTCTCGTGCATTGTACCAGAAGGGACAACGCAAAAAAAAACAAGTGGAAGTCATCCATTGAAAGGCAAACAAACAAATTTGCCGAAAAAATATATTCGCGAATGTTCTTCTTCAACATTGACTTAACCCAGATTTCAAGAGGAAGAAGGGGATTGCATTTACTGTTAGCCGAGAACCTAAAGACATAAGAAGGCTATATGCAAATACGGATAAAATGTATATCCACCATCCGTCCGGGAACACAAACACATGCAAATCAGATCAAATCGCTGGCTTGGTGGCCAAAAGGGACGGATTACACAACTCGGTGTCAATATGACTTAACGATGGATTCCGCCACAAAAACAACTTTGGCTCTTTTCGCCACCGTCTTTCATCCTTCAACCGCTGACCAACGAGATTGTGATTACTGCTCTGGTAATGACGATCTGCTTGTGTAGCCGCTGTGCCAACAATAATAAAGCATCCAGTCACAGTCCAGCTTCCCAGCCCCAACTTGCCACTGGCCCTTTCCCCATGAAATGATAATTTTATCAGCACTGAATTCAAATTGATTCTGCGGATTCAGCTCGGTTCCAATTAGATTTCTTGCTGGCAAAATTAATTATTCGTGCACATTTCAATTAAAGCTGGAGGGGGAACTGCGCTGGCTACTTAGCAATTAGAAGGTCACTCTTACTCCCAAACACAATTAACTTGATTTTTTTCCCGGCCCCGTAAATCAACTTAAATTGTTATGGCTTTTAATATCAAGTATACGCAGGGTATGAAGTACCAAATGAAAATGTAAACACAAGAACATCAATACTAAAAGAAAATTTTTAGGAAATCTTTTGAAACATAAAATAAATAAAAACTTCCATGACGCCTGTTTAGTTAAGTACTAATACCTTCATTATTTTCAGTGTAGAGATTTTAGATATCTCGGCATTTGCATGACGACAGCAAGCACCAATGACGACGACGACGATGACTCGGACGCTCTGCAAGATTTATTAGCGCATTTGACTTGATTTAGCTTGTTTATGTTTTTGCTGGGCAAAACTTATGGCCAAGCATTATGGCCACAAAATGGACATCGAAGTTGTAGCACCCTGGCTACCTGGTGACTGCCACACCAGGTTGCGTGTGCAGAGGTGTTTGCTGCAACACCAGAGATGAGAGCCAACCGAGCGGAACCTCCGTTTGCCTGATGTGCATCATAAATTATTTTGATGTGCGTTTTAGTTGTTCCCAGCTCCTGCGACTCCTAGTTCTCACACAGTGCTGTCAAGTCTTGGAAAAGAAAGCTAAATTAAGTATACGTAGCTAGCAATATTAAGTAAACGTAGACAACTAGAGCCCTTTAAAAACTGCCAAATGATCACCACAGCTGGTGTTCATGTTGCTGAAAAATCTGATTGGTGCATAGCTGGGAAAGCTCAGGTGGGTGGTTG